AATTTTTTTGTATCATATTACTATTTTACTATTTATTTAAAGTGCTTGTATATGATATTCTGATTAAATGGTGTTTCACATTTGCAAAACGAAATTGGATGAAACAAAATCACCATTCCTTTTTTGAATGCTTGCAGTGTTTTATAATAATAATCCTTGCATTTAATATAGTGCACCTTATCATGTAGTCGGGATGTCTCAAAAGCGCTTCACAAGATATCCTGTAAGGTGGTTTGACTGTGTATTTTGTGGGCAGGTTTCATCAAAATAATAAGAAATAATAATCCTTGCATTTGCTATAGTGCTTTTCACATCTTCTAGACGTCTCAAAGCGCTTCACAGAATATACTGTAAGTGACTTGACTATATTTGTTGGCGAAATACGGCATCCAATTGCGCACAGCAGTGTCCCACAAACAGTCGTAGATTGAAACGACCAATTTTATTATTGTTTTTTTTTCTTGAGGGATTATTATCAGGTGTGTGGAGTAAGGAAACTTACCCAAGGTTTCACCCTCCTGGGAATCGAACCCAGGTCTCTTGCTTGTGAGGCAAGTGCTATAACCACTGAGCTGCATAGATTGTCCTTAAGTGGTTTAGATCCTATCTCTCACACTGTCTCCACTTTGTCTCCACAAATAACGTCTCCTGCAGCCCCCGTACCGTGTCGGGTGTTCCTCGGATCTGTCCTTGGTTCTCTACTCTTCAACTTGTGCATGCTCCGCAGACATGGGGTCAACATTCACGTGTATGTGGACGACACCTGCTATCTCGCTGCCTTGACTCCAGGACCACTGCTGTCCTGACAGACATCAAGTCCTGGATGAGAGCTAACTTGTCTCCCAGCAGCGCCTCCACACCTCAGGCACTGGCAGCATCACCATCCACGGATGCACACTCCACCTTACCGAGCCAGTCTGGAACCTTGGTGAATTGTTTGACCCTCAACTGTTCTTTCTACCCTACATCCGTGCCATGACCCGCTCTGTCTTCCCCCACCCACCTCCACAACATCACCCGGCTCCGACATTTCCTCAGGCCACCGAAACACTGATTCACGTATTCATCACATCTGGGCTCAACTATGGCAACTCCCTTCCCAACTTTTCCTTCCACAAGCTGCAGATCATCCAGAACACTGCAGCCTGTGGCCTCTCCTGCACCAGGCTCTGTGATCCCACCGCCCTCAACTAGCAACCCCCTCCACGGGCTTGCCCTACACTCAAGCAAACCCCCTTATCACGCACCGCTCTCTCGCCCTCACTGTCTCCCCACGCCCACTCCCCTGATCTTCCCACAACCCCTCTCTCACCCATTACCTCTCTCTCACCCACTGCCCCTCTCTCGTCCCCTCCTCTCTTGCCCACTAACCCACTCTCGGCCACTCCCCATCTGGAGTCCTGTGGCTCAGTGGTTAGAGTACTCACCTTGCAAGCGAGATACCTGGGTTCAATTCCAGGCAGGGCAAAACCTTGGGCAAGTTTTCTTACTCCACACACCTAATAATAATCCCTCCAAAAACAAAAACAATAATAAATTGGTCATTTTCAATCCATGACTGCTTGTGGGACACTTGCAATTGGCTGCCGCATTTCGCCCACAAATATACAGTCAATTCACTTTACAGTATATTCTGTGAAGCGCTTTGAGACGTTTAGAAGACGTGAAAAGCGCAATATCAAATGCAAGGATTATTATTATTATTACTCCTACCTCTGTGACCTGCCAACCCCATATCAACCAGTCCGCTCCATCCGCTCAGCAGGCTCTGGCCTGCGCCACGTACCTGCCCCAACAATTGGTGATCGAGCCTTCAGCCTCTCTGCCTCCACCCTTTGGAACGCCATCCCACATTCCCTTTCCCTCGTTCCCTCCCTTGCCTCCTTCAAGGCACATCTCAAGACCGTCCTCTTCGACTGCGCCTTTGGCCACCCTCCCTGCCCTCCACCCTCTTTGATCCCAACTCCCCAACACACTGCTGGGTCCAAATCCCTGATTGTCCAAAGCCTTGGGACATCCCCCTGACGTGAAAGGCGCTATACAAATGTAATTTTGTAGTGTAATTTAACTTGGTGCGAGAATCTTCTCGATGATGTGTTTTTTATATCTTAAACATTTCACTTGCGTAACACCAGTAACAATTTTTAATACCTGTCTGCAATTACCATTGGATAACCCATACTGGATACAATTTGTACCAGCATAATCATCCTATATGTGCTGATTACAACACAAGACTAATATAAATAACCAGACATGTTAATGATCCTGAGAAGTTACTCCACCTAAGCTTGTCACACAAAGGACCACCTCCTTGTACTACCCTAGGATCAGCACTTCCCATCACATAAAAGAATGAGTAGCCTGGTCACCGGAACAAAACAAATCTCCTGCCTTCTGATACATGCAATCCCCACACAAATATAATTCTACATATTAATTCATGCATTCATTAAATAAAAGACAGTTTTGTTTCTCTGACAGCTTACTTTGTAAATTTGTTGTCCAGAAAAGAACAAAACAGCAACGTACAAGAAAGGCAATTTGGCCCATCAGGCTCCAATTACACATCATGCAAGACATACCATCATAGACTCAACCTTGACCATTCTATCTCTTGGGAGAAATTTCTTCATAGATACTCCTAGATCCTCAAAGATAACCATATTACTTCCATATATTTGTGACAGTGCCAGTCAGTGAGCAGGCAGGCTGTGGTCCATGTCCAGGCTTTGTCAGTCAGGGTCAGGGGAGATGGGAGGAGAGGGTGTGATTGAGGTGGCCTGGAGAGCTAATGTTTTGCGGCTGACCGCACAGCACAGCCACGCCAATGTGTTCCAATTCTGATTCCCATTTGCATCAAATTCAAAACAGCAAGGGGGTAAATTATTTGGCATACAAAATTGGCCGACCTCAAAGTGATAATGAGGCCCCCTGACCACCCCCCAATCCCCTACAAGTTTTGCCACTGTTCAAGCCCTAAGTTGGAACTAGGAACTCATCTAGGCTGACAACAACAAAGACTTGCATTTATATAACATCTTGGAGCGCTACCCTCCGAGGAAGACATCTCAAAGCACTTGACATGATTTATTGTAAAGTGTAGTCACTGTGTATTCACTTGTACTGTGATTTACACTGATACTCCATTGCAGTGCTGGAAGTGTACTGCATTCATGGTGCCATCTTTCGGATAAGACATTAAACTGAGGTCCTGTTCAGGTGCATGCTCAGGATCCCATGGCTCTATTTGAAAAGAGTAGGGAGTTTCTCACGGTGTCCTGGCCAACAATCTCCCAAATAAAATTGGTAATTCACTTCTTGGCAGTTTGTGGGAAATCGCTGTGTGCAGATTGATTGTTGCACACCCCCGATAAACCCTTCTCTTTTCAAATAGTGCCATTGGATCTTTAACATCCACCTGAACAGACAGATGGGACCTCGGTTTAAAGTATTATCTGAAGCACAAATATCTTAATGCCCATAGAGTCAAATTCATTCTTTATGATGCAGCTTAATGACCTGACTGACCTGTTCAGGCCTTCCCCAAACCTCAAGGAAACTCCTGTGGGCAGCAAGAAATGTGACAATTCACGATTTCAAGATAACAACAACAACTTGCAGTTGATATCAGGCGGGCCAGGATCTCTTATGTTCAACTATTTATGTTCATGCACAACTGTTTAACTATTTCCCCTGTTTAACTATTTCTCCTGGTACCTTTGAATTCAGCTTACAGTGTCATTAGGGTAAATTCCAAAGCAACAGCAACCAAGTATATTGCAGAGCAATGTTAACTAGAAATTAAAATCTAAACACACCTGCACTTTTAAGGAAATCTTGTGTAAACATTTAGCTGCCTTTCAGTATGGATCATTCCTCCAATAACAAATGAATGAAGTTTGAAGAGTTAACTGCTGAGTCTACCCAAGGAGAATCATCCCACTCAGCTCCTGTAAGCCACTAATGAGTAGGGTGGTCCAAGCTGGACAAGCAGTGGGAAAGCTTGCCAGATAGCAATATCAATGGCAAGCTATGTGGTTTTAGCTGGTTAGACTCCAACAGTACACCAATGCACACTCTGGGTCCCCAAGCCTTGCCTCTTGCCAACCTGCACCTAATACTCAGACTGAACGTACTCACACATAGCTTCTCAGATAGATGAAGATCATTGTTGGTCTTCAAGGTGGAAATCAAGCACCATTCAATCTTCTCGTTTGATTTTGAGGCAGTTGAATGTCATGTGCCTTTTAAGAGAGAATATTGCAGAAGCTACTTCCAAGCAAAGAAGTCTTCAACAATGGAAAGTACTCAGACAGATATTGTGTGTCCTTTTTCATTGGGTTTTAACTTTACATATATGATGGAACATATGTAGTGAAAGTTGCATAAAGTCTAAATTAGGATCAGTCTCTAATATTAATTAAGTTACTTTCACCCTTTTGAAGTCACAGAAATTAGTTTTTCTTGGGGATGGGAAGGTAAGGATCCTAAGGTTAAACTAGTTCTGAGCCAAACCAATCCATAATACTGTAACTCAAAGCATTGTTGATGGTTGACTAGCCTTTCGACTTATCAGTAAGGTTTGAAAATGTAGCTACAGAAACTTAGGAACAGAAGTAGGCCATTCAGCCCTTCAAGCCTGTTCCGCCATTCAAAGCTGATCTATATCTCAACTCCAAATACCCACCTTTGCCCTTATCCCTTGATACCATTACCTAACAAAAATCTATCCACCTCAGTCTTGAAAATTTGAGTGGATCCAGCATCCACAGCCATTTGGGGGAGAGACTTACAGATTTAATTGACCTCAAACAGAAATCCAACATATGTCTACAACCCTGGAAGCCAAATCCCAAATATTTTAGGTTAGGCTGAATACATAGTGTGAAACTTACAATGTTTTGTGCTGGTAATCTGTGATTAACAATTGTTTTACATTGTTTTGACAACTTCTTAATTTCCGCTTGAGAAACTTAGTTTTGCTTCCTTTAATGCAGATGGAAGCACGGGATAAAGCTGCTAAAGATATAGAACTGACTTTGAAGGCAAAGGAAGCACTGATAGCTAAACAAAAATCATACATAATTGAAACTAAGGAATCTAAGGATACTAAGGAAACTAAGGAAGTTAAGGTAATGTGTAAAAAAAATTCTATTAAAATGTATGCAGTATGAGAGAATTTGCAACCATTCTTTTTCATCTGATGGTTAATATTCAAGGTCTCGCTAACTCTATGACTTCAAACAGAAATCCAGCACATCCTCATTTGCTAACAACAACAACAACAAAATTACATTTGTATAGCACCTTTCACGTCGGGCAGACGTCCCAAGGCGCTGGGCAGGCAGAGTTACGGAACCGAACTGGGGGTTAGGGTGGGGAAGGGTGGAGGTCAGGGGGTGAAGCATGGAGATTGAAAGCACAGTCGCAGAGGAAGGTCTTGAGATGGGTCTTGAAGGTGGCAAGGGAGGGGGCGAGACAGAGGAACTGCAGGATGAAGTTCCAGAGGGTGGGGACAGAGTGATGGAAGGCCTGCCCGCTATTAGAGGGGTGAGCAAGGCGGGGTACGTGAAGCAGGCCGGAGCCCTCTGAGTGTAGGGAGCAAACAGGATGGTAGGGGAGGTCGGAGAGGTAGGGGGGTGCAAGACTGTGGAGGGCTTTGAAGGTGAGGACCAGGATCTTGAACTGTATCCTCTGTGTGATGGAAAGCCAGTGGAGTTGGGCAAGGAAGGGGGTGATAGGGTCGCGGCACCTAGTGCAGGAAAGGACACAGGCTGCAGAGTTCTGGATGATCTGCAGCCTGCAGAGGGAGGAGTTGGGGAGGCCAACAAGCAATGAGTTTGCATAGTCGAGCCTCAGTATAATGAAGGTACGTATGTATGAGGGTTTCGACAGCCTGCAGTGTGAGACAGTGCTGGAGCCGGGCGACATTGCGGAGGTGGGGCAAGGCAGAGCGGGTCATGGCACAGATGTGGGGTAGAAAGGATAGTTGAGGGTCAAACAAGACGCCAAGGTTCTTAGTGAGGTGGAGTGTGCAACCATGGATGGGATGCTGTCAGCGCCTGAGGCATGGAGGCGCTGACGGGAGCCAATCAGGAGAGCCTCAGTCTTGCTGATGTCCAACTGAAGAAAGTTACCTCTCATCCAGGACTTGATGTCTGACAGATATTCTGTCAGGACAGCAATGGTCCTGGAGTCAAGGGTGGAGGCAGAGAGGTACAGTTGTGTGTCATCCGCATACATGTGCAAGTTGATCTTATGTCTGCGGGTAATGTCACTAAGAGGGAGCATATAGATATTGAAGAGGAGGAGACCAAGGACAGAGTCCTGGGAACGCCGCACAAGACAGTCCGGGGGCTAGAGGAGAAGCCGGTTGAGGAGATGAAGTGCAGGTGGTGTGAGAGGTACGATCTGAACCACTCAAGAACAGCGCCATGGAGGTTGAGGTGAGAGGAGAGGCTGCATCCAAAGCAATGTGGTTGACTCTTTTATCCCAAACTCTTCATTATCCCTCTTACCTCTCATTAAAAGTTAAATCCTCCAAATCTAACTGGGAGCATTTTCCCTTTGTCCTACAATGTCCAAACTTTGAAAACCATGCTTGGGATCACCTAATTTCTTATATTTTTCAATCTCTGTCAGATTAGCTTTATCAATAAAAAACAATCAAAACAGATATTTGTTTTTTTCTTGACAGAAGGAAACCCACCTTGATACAAGCCAAGCTCTTCTTGAATTAAAGTTGTTGAAGAAGTTAGACAAACAACAAAAAGAACTTATACTGGGGTGAGTATCACAGAGCAGCCTCTAACATGCTGCATTGCCAAATGTTAGAAATGTGAACACCCCAATTTTTCCACACAGTGAGTTTAGAGACTCACCCTTATGGCAGTGAAGAAGTATCGCGCAGAAATGTTTCCTCAAAAGCAGAGGGAGAGCCATTCCACGCCCCTCAATCATACCTCTTTAATAAGTTTTAAGTTTCCAGATTCATGCGCATTGGGTAGCATCCTGGCTCATTTGGTAGCATTTTTGCTTCTGTATTACCTTCCTATAAAGTAAGGGATGATCTTATAGATACAGTATTCTCTAGTTTAAAATAGAATTATGTAATTTGAAGATAAATAGAGAAGAGGAGAGGTGGAGGAATAGAAGCAGAGAAATCCAGTGGTTGGGGGTGTAATGACTTTGGCAGAACATGCGTTCAAGCCTCACATCAGAACTCCGAATTTAAATAGTCTAAGATGACACTTCAATGCAATGCTGATGGGGTGTTGCATTGTTGGAGGTGACATTATTCAGATGAGACGTTAATCCAACGCCTTGTCTGCCTGTTTAGGTGGACGTTTACCATCGTGGACGTTCACCATTGTGAACAAATGTAATGTCATTAAAGAGCCAAGAGCGCTACTGACTCATAATATTAAAAAAAACTTGGTATTGTTTAATTATGAATGTGAAAACCACTTCTCAGCAAAGAATAAAGTGTAATACAATTGTAAAACCAAAAATGAACGCAGGGCAAAACAAGAGCCATATAGCACCTTAGACATGTTTAGTTGACCTGTACTTATGATTGTCACTTATTCCACAAGGGCGACATTATATTGTCGAAAGTTTGAATAATGAAGTGAGTGTGAAACTGTTGTTTAAACAGTTTTCCTTTATGTACAAGCATTGTTCAAAACACAGTAATCAACTCGTAAAGCAGTGAAATCACAAGGAAAAGTCCGTGTGAGTCATATTCTTCACAGGGAGTTAAACTGAAGAACGTCTCACCACTTCTCCCGGTTAACCTTTCCACCAACTGGAAACTCGTGCAAAGAAATAATTCCTGCTATCTGTTATAAAGTTCCTTTCACAAACCTGAAACTTGTCCAGCTGTCTCTGCGAATCTGGAAATATGTTTCTGCATTTACTTTTTTAATCCCATTTAACATCTTATTTATCATTGACATTCATGCATGATTTTCATTGTAGTCTTGGGGCCACCTGTAAAAGAAGATTTTCTGGTGGCCTGTGGAGGAGCTGAGGGCCTCCTCAGGTTCACCTTGAAAATTACTCTCAAGGTTCCTCCATAAGCAGCAATGTACTATTTACACCAATTATTGAAGTTCACAGCCCATTAATTAGAGCACACGTGTCTTACAACCCATTCATCATAATGTCTCTAACTCATTTCAATATCAAAGTTGAGGCTAATCTGTTGCCCTCTCAATTTAGCTACATATATGGTTCACCCATATATTTGTTAAAATTATAGAATGTAATAGATGGCAGCTAGCTTCTTACGCACTTTTACCTTCCTATAAAGGAAGGGATGATCTTATAGATACAGTATTCTTTGGTTTAAAATAGAATTATGTGATTTGAAGATAAATAGAGAAGGGGAGAGGTGGAGGGGTAGAAGCAGAGAAATCCAGTGGTTGGGGGTGTAATGACTTTGGCAGTACAGTAGTGAATTTTGCAGCACAGGCACAATGGGCAGGGTGACCTCCCTTTTTACCATAAATTCCATGGTTTTATGGAATGAAGTTTAGCTCCCAACGGTGGTGCAGAGCGCGTGGGGGACACGTAGAGGGCCTACATTAGCTGAGCAGAGGGGGCAGGTAGAGATATCATAGAGATGGGGAGGTGCTACAGTGATTTATGTGTGATGCCTTTTGAAGTTGATCCATTTGAAGGCAGGGAGTTACTGGAGCCTGGCAAGGATTGGGATTTCAATCCACTTTGAATTTCAAGCTTTTATTTGAAAAAGCTTGACAAACAATTAGAAGGGTAAAACTTGTAATTTTATAGTAACTTTTTACATTAAAATTTCTCAAAACAGTTTACAGAAATTACTGTTGCACGCAGTTCACAGCAAGGTCACACAAGTAACTACACATAAGTGACCAATTTATCTGCAGGATTATTTTCCATAGCCCAAGAAGAAGATGCCTTCTTTTTTCAACTAATATCATGGGATTTTTTAAGATTCACCTAGTAGACAAGAACTTGGTTTAACCGCTTATCTAAAGAATGGCACTCCTTTGGAACAGCCAGTTAAAACCACCACTCCTTTGGTTAACTCCCTCAGTACTGTACGATGTATAGATAACTGCACCTAGACGATTATAAGATCAAATCCCGAAAGCTAATACTAGTTAGTCAGTAGCTAATTGGTACAGGTTGAAACAGTTTTGTTTTTCACTCATGAAATATACTTGTTTTTCAGACTTAATAAAGAGCTTCAGCGAACAAATCAAGCGTGGGAAAAAAAGTTTAATATACTAAGGAGAAGGTACACATTTGTAAAGTTTATGAACAAAATAATAACTTCACCAGATTTGTTATTAAAAAAATGTGTGATGCTTCTTTACTTAATCCCATTGCAGAAATAATTAAATGTTTTGTGTGTTGTAATGCAACAGTTTAAAAATAAACAAATCTATAAATTTTCAGCCTCTTTGCTGTAAAGGATGAGATGTTCATGAGATGTTCTATGCAGCGCCAAACGGCATCTATCCGCAATTCCAACATGAATTATGCAGTAAGTACCTGTTAATGACTCCTTTAAGCACAAAAATACTGAAGTACAAGGGTCAAAAACGTTTATTCTATTAAGCACTAGGGAATGAAGCAGTAACTCCAAAGCAGATGCCCTACTGCACATGTTTGATATTTACATTTCCTGCACTAGTGAAGCTTATGTTGTTTTAGTCAGCTGAGTGTCACAACTGAAAATCGTCATCATGCTTAAGAGTATACAAACCGGCCTGAGAGTTCCACATATATAGAATGGAATGTGCACTCTCTCCCTGGAGGGTGCATCTTGCTTATGTAACTTCATAGAGGATTTGGTGCAGGTTGGCAAGGTCAAAGCTTGCCAGTTAAAACCACCACAAGCTTTCCATCCAAATCACTCTGGCAAGCTTCCCGCTGCTTGTCCAGCTGGGACCATCCTACTATTAGGATTTTGACTTGCAGGGTTGACAGGAGCCAAATGGGCAAAAACCCTGTGACCAGCTTACCTCTCCAAGTCCACACAATGAGCCAGGCTGGCTGGGCTGTTATCTACAATGCTCTGCAATATTGCAGGCCTACCTTGCTCAGTAACCAGACTGCCAGAATGTCAATTCTGAAAATCTTTTGGTAAGCATGTCACCTTGGAGAGGATCAGCCACCACCCCCCCCCCAGGATGATACCCACTATATTTATGATTTCTGAGTGAGATCAGACAATACAATTTACGTTTATATAACACCTTTCACACTTTGGGAAAGCATCTCAAATTGCTATCCTTTTTGGATAGGCACCCGAGCTGGAAGTGGGAGCAAAAGGGATAGGGAGGGGATTAAACATGTAATACCAAATATGAGTAACGTTTGCTGTTATCTCATACCCACTAGAAGCTGGATAGGAACTGCGTAAAATGTGATTATTTTACTGAAGACCCTCACCGACATCTATGAAATTAAACATTTGTCAGATGGTTTTGGTGTAGAATCAAATCCGCGTTTCACAGATGAAAGAGTAGTGTTGTAATCCATTCTTCCATCCAGTCCTTCATATTTAAAGAATGTGATTGTGGGTTATTTAGCAGCTGGTTACAGCACAGCATTTTTAAGTTAAACAGGGCGAAAGCCTAAAGGGAAAATACTGCAATATAATGACCAAATGATAGCAAGTTTGTACATTGAAGCATTATAAATAATCTTTCACAGCAGTAGTGGATGAAGGTTTAATTTTCCTATGCTGCTAATAGCAATATTAGCCATGCTGCTGTGGCCAAGAAACCATAGATGAAATGTATTCCCCATGCTGCCATCACTTGCCCCTTTACAGCTGCTCAGAATGACATTGTCAGACCCCTGGGAATATGTCATCTGATGGCCTCTTCGCTACATGGCTGAGGTAGACTGGGCACTTGGAAAATATAAAACAATTGTCATTAAAATAAACATTTTTTGATTTATTAATACTGCCTTCACATGTCAGACAATTTCATCTTTTCTGTATAGCCCGAAGATCCTGTAGGAATTGTTTCTCAAGCAAACCAATCACTGGTTGGTTCTCCCTATATGCCACTGGTAGGTAGACATTTTCCTTCAGAAAATTAAAAATTCATACAGCTTTTGCCAGAAATGAAACTGATTATATTACTGTTATCAGCCTCAAATAGGGTCCAGTCCTTCACAGCTTGCATTGCGAACAAATGTAGATAAAACGTCATCAGGAAGTGCTTTGGGGATCTTTAATTTGACTGCAGAAGGTGAGATACTGTAGTTACTAGTATTATAAGAAAACTAATCAAAGCAAATGTTAGTACCAAATCTATTCATATTCTTTTTAAAACAGCTACTTACATGCAAATGCTTTGCGCATAAATTATCACTAAATCTCTAGCATTACATCAACAACTATCACTTTCTCTGGAATTTCCTGTCAGTGATTTTGTGATGTGTTTTCATGATTTGCTGGCTCCAATATAACAATAGGTGAAGCAGACACAATGTAGTTAAAAGTTAATTTACTAACTGGTATGAGTTCAATCCTCCTTGCTCACTCCCCCCACCTGTAGCAGAGAGACTAGTGTTAATACCATGATTTGTATGTGCATAGCTATGGCAGGCAAGCCAAATGGACTCAGTGCTGTACTTTTGTCCAAAATCAAGGGCATCTATGAATGTACAGATACAAGTGACTGAGTATGCACATGATATTTGGACAAAGGACAAGCTGAATATGAATAAAGTCTATCTGATAAATGTTTCTTAACAGCAACAGTGAAATCTTACATAGAAATCTTACTTCAGAAATCCACCGCTGGACACAGGAGGCATTCAGATGCATGTGGAGTCCTGTAGCTCAGTGGTTAGAGCACTCACCTTGCAAGCGAGCGACCTGGGTTCAATTCCCGGCAGGGCAAATTGTTGGGCAAGTTTCCTTACTCCACACGCCTCTGTTTATCTAGCAGTAAGTAGGAACCCGGTTGTTAGTCGATTGGCGGATCGCTTTTCCAGGGGTAATAATTCCTTAAAAAAAATAATAAAATGGGTCATTTCAACCCATGATTGTTTGTGGGAGACTGCTGTGCACAATTGGCTGCTACGTTTTACCCACAAAATGAACAATCAATTCACTTTACAGTATATTCTGTGATGTGTTTTGGGATGTCTCGATGACATGATAAGGCGCTATATCAAATGCAAGGAATATTATTATTATAAAACTGTCAATTCATGTATATTCAACCATGATGCTGTGGTGATTTAATGTATACAAATTCTATATTCATTGCTTTAATAATCAATATAATATTCAATTGCTAAAAAATAGTCAATGCTGTATGTAGTAACACAGGTGATGGATAGTACAAACTGCAAACAAAATTTTTTAAATGCAACTTTTTGTCTTCATATCTTCCTCAGAAAGCACCTCAGAGTAAAGAAAAGTTAGCCCACTTTTCTAAGGTTACCAATCACAAATTTGAACATTATATCTCATAAGCATATAGAGTAAGCATATATTTAAAACTGCAAAGAAGTCTTCACTTTTAAACTTTTTTTTCAAAATCATCATGTCCTACATTATAAGTCTTGCATTTTGAAAGAATCAATTTAATAAAATCTTTATGCAAGCAGCGCTAGGGTACAAGTCCCACTTCTTAATCTTTATGACTGTGTAATTTATTCGCAATGTAACTTGGCGTGAAGCAGCAATCACCTGTTTTCAGATTAGTTATAGACTTACTCACAAAAGTAGCAGCCTTTTGGTACTTAGTTATTTACATGCATATTCAGATGGCATTGCATTGATTTAAGCAAGGCAATGCCATCTGAATATGCTTCTCTGTTTTATTAAAGTTTATTTATAGTGATCTGGGAAAAGTTTGTTACTACAGGTGTAAAGGTAATGGGATCTTGCTTTTTGTAGAATATAAGAGAAATTGATAAAGACACTTTATTATGCATGTAGTAAGAATGGAACTGTTTACAATATTCATACTAGACCTATTATAAGATCCAAATTGGTCCAAAATTGGTCCACTAGTACTAAAGTATCTTTATAATTAAAGAGCATCCCCATCCCAAAGTGTTTATGCTTCAATGCTGCTTATTAAACATTGGGATTTAACTGTTTTAGAAAAAGCAGTTTAGCGATGTAGTGTTCATTGACTGCATTATTCAGAAAATCCTGAACCAGCTAATTCTACATTTGCTTTCAAAGCATTTTAGTAATTTCTGAAGTAAATGTTTTAGAGCTTTTCAAACCAGGTTATTAGATCTAACAAAATGTAATTAGTAATTACTGTAGTTGGTAGGAATTCAACACAATCCATCAATTGACAGGTGGTGATGATCTTGTAAGGTGTTCGTATTTCTTCCTACAGTTATGATGTATCCACAATACAGGGTTTTTGTTTTTAGTAAATTTAGGCTGTCTGATTTTTTTCTAATTTTCTCCATATTTGACTGTCACACATGTACACAACTACAAGCCACAGGTTATAAAGGGACCAGAAGCAGGAACATGACTGGTTTTACCCTCCTTAACCATGGGGAGGTTAGAGCCAATTTAGCTTCCCCATGCAGCTCAAATCATATTTGAATCAGCAAACTCCTAGTCTGTCAGATGCAGCTCTATCCAATACACTATAGAGGCTGCCCCTACACAATACAAGGTTCATTCTTTTTGTAAGTATATTGGTATCTCTCAGTACCAAGGGCAAAAATAAGTTCAACACACATTGAACATGTTTTAAATCTTCAGAAACTATTGAAATCAATGGATGGAGTCCATGATAAACAGATGACCTGTTGTCCATGGAGAAAATACCATGTATGTAAAACTCCACATTGAGGTTTTATCTCCCCATTGTTTTTTTCATACTTTAAGGCCCTCTCTTCTGTACACCTTCCACTAGCCAGAGAATCCACTAAAAACCTACAGCCAATTCCACCTGGCTGAGAGATTCATGACGTTTTGTACAGACAACTTTTCTTTGTTTTTTTCCTGCCATCCTGTGAGTATGTAGCTGGCTCAGATGGTCGACTCAGCCCCTTGGAAGATTATCAAGCCAGAATGGGAACTTATTGAATAAGAAATCACTACCAAAAACTTTGCATTCTATTGCTCTATGTTACACACTGTTGTGTACGTAAACACAATGTCACTAAATTGCTATGCCTCATGCTTTTGGCCTCATGCCAAAAGTAATTTTTTCCAATAATTTGGAAAGAAACCAACTATACCATTATGTCTTTGACATTCTTACAAATATAAGTAAAATATGAGAAATATCTTATCAGATAAAGTTATTGTATTCTTCATTTTTTGTATTAAACTCCATCTGTATCAGCAATGTATTCCCCCTGGTCAGAAATGCAGAGGACAGTTCTTTCTTCCACACCCAACAATGTGATTGAACCCCAACCTAGAAAGAATACTACTCCAACAATGAAGTTTCTATTTACCAGTTGAGTCTTCCTGAATGGTCACCATTACCAATTAATGCCAAACACTAAGCAGCTTTATACAATTAACTTATATATGTCATGTGTTAGCCTGACATGTATAAAACTGAGTTGGTAGCACCTCGTCTCTGAGTTAGTAAGTTGTGGGTTCGAGCCCAATGTCGGGATTTGGAACACTTCAAGTCAGAGCTGACACTCAGTTGCAGTGCTGGGTGTGTGCTGCATTTTTGGAGGTGTCATCCCTCAGATGCAAAGTTAAACCAAGGTTCAATCTGCCTCTGTTCATGTGGGCATTAAAGATTTCATGGGACTATTTTAAAAAGTTTTCTCCCAGTGTCCTGGGCAACAAATCCCCCAAAAATCATTGGTTACTGTGCTAATTTGCTGCAACCTTTGCCCATAAAACACAAGGTCATTACACTTTGTAGTATTTCCAGCACCTTGGGATGTCCTACTGACATGAAAGATGCTATATCAATGCAATTTGTTGTTATTGGTGCTGTTATACCCTGTGAAGCGCTTTGAGACAACCTCCCAACATGAAAAGCACTATATGAAATCTAAAAGGTTATTATCATTTGTCCGCAACAAAGCAAGGTGTCAGCCAGTTGATATCACTCTCGCATCTTAATCACCATGTTAAGAGTTTGAACCTCTAGAACCTCCTGCTGGGGAAGTGCTGCATTGTCAGAGGTAGCTTTCTTCTGATGAGACATTAAAACAGGTCGCATCTGCCTGTTCAGTGAATGTTAAAGATCCCACAGCAGTATTCAAGAAGAGAAGGGAGTTTCTCCTCCTTATGCCTTGGCCAACAATCCCCAGATAAAATTGGTCAGTCACTGTACATTACATGGTAAAAATCCTGTGAAGTGCTTTGAGACATCTCAACAACATAACAACGAAATTACACTTGTAAAGTACCTTTCACGTCGGGAGGACATCCCAAAGCGCTGAACAGTCAGGGATCAGGACCCAGGTATAGGGCAAGGTTGAGATGAAGAAGGGCAGAGGGGGTAGGAGGGCGGTTGAAGGCAGAGTCAAAAAGGAGGGTCTTGAGTCGTGCCTTGAAGGAGGCAAGAGAAGGAGCAAGGTGAAGAGATTGTGGGATGGAGTTCCAAAGAGTGGGGGCAGAGAGGCTGAAAGCCTGGCTGCCAATAGTTGGGCAGGTCGGGGAGAGATGTGGAATAGCCCAGAGTCTGCTGAGCAGAATAGGTTGATAGCAGGTCAGCAGGTCAGAGATGTGGGAGGGGGCAAGGCCGTGGAGGACCTTAAAAGTGAAGACGAAGATTTTGAATTCTATCCTCTGAGGAATAGCGAGCCAGTGGAGCCGGGCGGGGGTGGGGGTGATGGGGTCACAGAGCCTGGTGCGGTAAACGACATGAGCTGCAGAGTTCTGGATGATCTGCGGCTTGTGGAGGGAAGTGTTGGGGAGGCAAACGAGGGAGTTTCCGTAATTGAGCCTTGAGATGACGAATGCTTGTATGAGGGTTTCGGCGGCCTGAGGGGTGAGGCAGTGGCAGAGTCGGGCAATGTTGCGGGGTTGGGGAAGGCAGAACGGGTCATGGCATGGATATGGGGGAGATAGGACAGTTGATGGATAACAAGGCACCCAGGTTCCTGACTGGCTTGGTGAGGTGGAGTGTGCAACTGTGGATGCTGATGCTGCCAGTGCCTGAGGTGCTGGGGCGCTGGCACGAGCCAATCGGGGGACCTCAGTATTGCTGACATTCAGCTGTAGAAAGTTGGCTCTCATCGAGGACTTGATGTCAGACAGACAGTCTGTCTGTCTGACATC